ATTTCCACCATTATATTTCCTTCTAACATCTTCACAAGATTTTTTTTTTTTTTCTGTGGCCTAGCACTCCACAGCTATAGCAGAAGTCCACAAGTTTCTCATATTTAAACTCAGCAATGCAAACTTCATCATCATATTTCTTGAATTGAAATCCAGATATGAGAGGGACATGGACATCAAGTTCAACCCTGATGTGCAAAAAACTCTCCAAACCACCGAGAGTAGATTTATCCCATGAGATTAGCTGATGAAAAAGTGATCTAATAAGTTGGACATTCTCAAGGTTCATGCATCCTTTTGGCAAACCATGGATTTACACCCAAAATTCAGAGTGTGAAAACTCAATCTCATCAAAACATTGTGAAACAGGCCAATCTTTGAGAACAATATGGGAGCCCTTCACAAACTAAGGAGATTCACGAAATATTCAATCTTTTTCCTTTGCATCCGAGAGGATGAAAATATATGTGTTCTTGGATTGCTCATGAACTTCCAATCCTCCTTTTAGTCTTTAGGCACTTTTCAAAATGTTGTACACAAGACCACTTCGAATATCATCTTCATTGGCTATTAAATGCCTTGCAAAGGAGAATTGGTGAAGCTCATCATGGTTTGCTTCTTTGGTGGCTAGACGCAACACCGGCATCTTAAGCTCCGATCGTAAGTCCCTTCCTACCATAATCAGACAATTATTATCCATTGCCTCCAAAAAGTACACCTAAGAAACTTTTGAAATGGTAGGTAGAGAATTAAATCCCACCTTAGCACTTTTTCAACAAACTTACTGTGATTGTAGCAATGCTTGAGTTAGAGGTCACCTACATCAAATCACTCGGGCATCAGAATTTTTGAGGTATTAAGGGGAAAGAGAAGGAAAACCTGAAGGCAAAACCTCAGGAGATTAAGTGGGAACCCTAGAGAGAAACTCTTAGAAGCGGTTCCTTTTTTATGTATATTGGATCTTATTCTTCTTTTTTATTGATATTTGTTCAAATAAGTAGGGTAGTGAGGATACCAACAAAAAAATTATAATTTTTGTATAATTTTTATAATAATGCTAATGGTAAATTATTTACTACATAAATGATAATAAGATAAATAAAATATTAATAATTAATTATATAATTAATAAATGCATTTGATTTTCCTCTACCTAATTTGAGGACTTAATTAAAATATTTTTGAAAGTTTGAAAGTCAAAATGTAATTTGTCTTTATTTCTTCTGCCACATGATGCCAGGTGGCGCCAGTGTATTATGTCATGGCATTATGTCAAACAAGAAATAACAGTTGTTGGATGGATGGACTAAAATGGTACATAAATGATAGTATAGATCATTTAAGTAGAAAAATTAATCTCTAGATTAAAATAAAATTAAGTCAATGGTTATTAAATTATTTATTAAATCTAGATATTTTTGCAAAGTTATTAATTAAGAATATACATATTTAATTCTCATACTTTTTATTTTTATAAAATTTTTAAATATTTTGTTCCTATTTTACCATTATTAAAATGTTTTTAGTTGGGTTAAGACTTTTTCGTTGCCAATGATATCTTTGGCTGGTGATAAAGAACGGGATTTTATAATTTTAAGGCTTTGTGTTCCACTCCCATACTTGACATGTTTTTTCTAATTTTTTTTTTCTGAATTTTGTAGTATGTTCAAATTAAAATATATTATGTACAATTTATATATTATACTTAATAATACCATACTCTCCTAAAAACACTAAATGTGCTTATTCTAACATTACTTTAATTACTCTAAACTATGTTGATATAATTGGTTTTTTTTTTTTTTTTCTTTTTACTAGATCTCATGAACCACTTGATAAACGTAGTTAATACCTTAACACTAATAAGGTTTGAACTATGACACTATCATATTACAATTTCTCATCTCTTACCTCCAAAATGTTCATGTTCAAAAAATATATATGTGGTTTTTGCTCTAGAATAATAAAGGATTACAAATTAAAAAAAAAAATAAAAACAGAGAAAGTATAAAATATTGAATAATAAAAAGGATATAGTTATAATCACACAAGAAATCGTTAAAGCTATACAAATTATAATTATGTGTTCGATCTAATATTTTTTTTGATAATAAGTTTTTTTTCTTAAATAATTAATTATAATATTTAAAAATATCAATTTATAAATTAATTTTAACATATTAAATTTAATTTATTAAATAATAAATATCAACTATTTTATTAATTATCTATATATTTTATCAATAATTAATACTTTTAAAGAATTTTTCTATTTTATGTTCTAAGGGAAATAAGTTAAAAGTGTAATTAATACATTTTTTATAATTAATTCTTTTTGAAAATGTAAATATTAATTTCAGTTTAATTAATTAACTAATTAAAATCATTTACATGTCAATGGTATTAACATAAATATCAATTTTTATAATTTTTATGTAAATTAATTATAAAAAAATAGTTATTACATTTTTAATTTATATTTTTAGGATATAAATTAAAAAAATCCTTAAAAAAATTAACAAATTTGTAGAAGTGAACAAAATTTTGCATCCCGACAACCACAACAGGGGAGCTTTTGCTCAATAATTGTTGTAGAATTAGCACTTATTGCGTTTGTTAGAGACAGCTTGATGGTCTAAAGAAATTTTTACTTTCACGCTCGGCTAATAGCTGTACGCTAAAACGGCGCCACCCTATAGCCGATTTTGTTGAATTTCACATGTTCACAGAAATGCCATGGGCCACTGTCCATTGATGCCGGTAGACTTTCGATTATTCCTCTTTTTTTTCTTTGGGTTGCATACTGAGTAATGTGAACCTTTTCTACCCCTTAGGTTTCCCTACTTGTGTGTGATACACTACTCGCCCCGTCGTCATTTTTCATTAGATTTAATGGCTAAATTAATGGAACAACTAAAGGTAGACATTTTCTAAAAGGCTAAGGACTGCTAGTGGCCCAAAATGAAGTTTTGGGATGAAAGTATCCCATGTTAGAAAGTCTAAGGATG